GTGGTTTTATTTTTATATTTTGGATAACTGTTATTCTTGAACTGTTGTCTTCAAATATTTTGTTTTTTTTCTTTATGTGGCACACTTGTGTGTGCATCAAATAGATAAATAGATAAACATCTAAATTAAACTGCAAACACATTTTTGAGTTTTGTTCATGATTAGCTCTATCCTGTCGATATTCGACACCAAGTGTGAAACAATTGGAGACAGCGAAAAATGTGGGAAATTTGCTTAGATATCTCTCGTTAGCATGAAAAGTAAGCTTAAATAGGGCAATATGAAAAGGCAATCGGGTTAAGAGCGCTTAGAGATTGTACTAGACACATAGGAGTAACTCAATGGGTGAGCCGCTCCAGAATAACGTAAATAGCGCTTCTCATTTTGACTTAGTTTTTTTTCCCAATAACTTCTGCTCTTTAATGTGTAAAACTTTGTGATTTCAAATTGTGAAAGAATAAGTAGAGAGAATCAAGTTACACGAATAAATAAAACGGATCTCTAAAGGTAAAGCGGATAGAAGTAAAAACAAAGGTGCAATGTTTATATAAAGAAATCAAAAGCTGCCATAATTGGTATATAAAGAGATGCATGACCATCAACGCCCAGCGCCTAAAGATAGGTTTGAATTCGCTACGTCGATTTATAGGAACCTGGAATTATAATAGACGGCATTAAGCATCTAAAGGCCTTAACTGTTAGAAAAGCCATGCAGCATGTAGATATATGATACTGTAGAAGTAGAATCTATGCGGATAGAATTACAACTTTTCCGTTAAAAGTTTGACATTGAAAAATCAAAAAACTGAATTGAAAACTGAAAAGTAAATTTTGGGAATAGTTTTTCAGATATAATATAACTTATATGCATTTTCCTTATAATTCTACTAACAAAAATATTTGTGAGAATTGAAATTAAAGATGTATATTCGAACAATATGAATCTAGTATTTGTTTCAGTAGCGCCGACGTCCACTCTATCAAAATAATGTTGCGCTCATCAAAACAACAATTGTCGCCTTGAAATATGTTTATTTTCGTCCCATCCTTCCTTAACTCAGTGTAAACTGAAGAGGGAGGATATGGTGACAAAGTCATATGAGCCGGTTTTCGTTCTTAGAGTTCCAGAAAAGTTTTTGTACGTTTTCGGCAAGTAGGCAAACTTGGAAAAAGCTCATTTTTCCTTACTTCATCGCTTGTAATTTGATTCTTCTGTTATTCTGTATTTTTAAAACTATATGGATGAACAATCTACATTATTCGCAGATAATGCTCAAAGACAGAAATATCCAGAAGTTTTGCTTCTAAATAGCTGTGAGACAAATCCATGT